CTGAGCCAATGGTGTTCAGCCAAACACCCTGGCTTTGACTCACGACCGACTCAACCCCTCCCGTAATCCCGAGCGTGACAGCCCTTCACTAGTGGTGTAATATGATATTAGTTAGGAATAGAAGTATAAATTATATTGTTTATTGTAAACAAGATGTGAAAGTCTTTTTCTAGTCCTTCAAAAACATAACTATGAATTTGCTGTATACTTATAATGAGTGGTGCATAAACTTTGCATTAAGGCTTAAACAGTGATGTCATAACATCAAGGCTTAAATAGTAATGCTATAAAATACTACCAGATCTTATCAGGGTGTACATGACCTAATATTCATAGCAGATTATAATCATGTACTTTAAGAAATAACTGTAGTTAAATTACCTCCCCAAACATCTGACTTATTTCAGGTGAGGTAACAAAATCTCCTTTTTCTCCAAGCATATCATGGTGCATATAATATCCCTATGGAAAAAAGAGAGAATTTATCAGCATATGTCCAGTGCGTGATATGTAACTCTTTTTATTCCACTGAATTTACTAACCCTTAACAATCAATTCACCTGCTAGGCCACTGGTAGGCCAAAGGTAGCTTTAAAGGTTTATTTCCAATGTAAAGCAAATATTAACAACATGTCTCCTCTCAAATACTATTTTGAATCTGCAAAAGCAGATTTTGTCAATGAGTTGAAAATGAGGTAAGAATCATAGGTAGGAAGCTGTGTGATAAGAGGACCCAAGAGGGGCAATGGTTCCAGATCAGGGGCATGTAGTGACCTTGACAGAAAGTTTGGTGGAAGCAGCTTATGGGCCAAGAGCTAGAAAAATGATGCTGGGGAAAAAATTGCACAGGGCCCAAAGATCGGGAAGACTGGTTTTGTATTGGCAGAAGAGAGTGGTCAAACAAGAAACATTAAAGCATATTGGGTTATATTACCATATGTGGTGGACATGTAAAAAGGTTCATACATTCTGGATTGAAGTGCACACTTTCTCACAGTCAATCTTGAATATCACAATACCTTTTAAGACAGAGATATATTTCTTAAACTGTTTACCAGATGAGTTAGATAAGAATCATAGTTACTTTATGTTACATGTTATAACAGCTGCCAGAATTTTATTTGCAATGGCATGGAGGACACTGAAGATTCCAGTGCTACATGAGTTGATATTAAAGATTATGGAATGTGTTGAAATGGACAAGTTGACAAATATATTAAAAGGAAAAATGGAAGAAGAATTTATGCGACCCTGGAGGGTGTTTTATGACTTGTTAAAACTTAAGTATTGAGAAAATAAGATTAAGTGAAGAATAATAAGAATGACAGATGAAGTAGTTGTGAAATTGTAATGAGAAGATATACATGCAGAATGTTAAACTGGAAATTTTAATATTACTGTCTTTTTCTTTCTTCCTCCCCTTCCCCTTCCCCACTTTCTGTATATAAACTAATAATTTTTTTCAAAGAAGAAGAAGAAACAACAACAACAACAACAACAACAGGGGACAGAGGAGCTGTGTGCCCAAGAGTTAAGACAATGGCTGCACATCTTTACTTCTACAGTAAGTGAACAGTAATTGAACAGTAGTTTAAATTAACCTCGTATAATCCAGTTTATATTCTCTACTTGATAAATTAATTTCTTTATAATTTTGTAACCAAATTTGTAAGAATCATCCATCAAATCCAAAATCTGCCAGCTAAGGCAGAAGACTTCAGCCTGCCTCATGTTCCATATGGTTTTTGTATCAGAAATGTGGCATGTGACTACAATTGGAGGAAGAAAAAAATGGTCCTTCAAATGAAGACCAATAGAACTAAAAGGTCAATTTTAGCATTAAATGTTAGATATATGCAACAGACTCCAGATTTCTTTTTTAAAAGAAGAAGAACCATGTGAGGGTATCAGTTTGAGCACAATGGCAGTGCATGTGTGAATGACTGTTCCCTTTCCACTCAAACAGGCAGTCTCCTATAGTTACTTTTAGTTGAAAAAACCCCATCAGGATACTATTACACATTTGCTGTGTAATGTGCAGTTTGCTCCAAAGAGAAGAACATGCAGGAATAATTAAAAATGCTGACAGAAAAGCAGGTTACAATTTAGGATGTGAACAAGTTCAATATGCTTGTTACAATTAAAAATATTTGTAACTGAGGTATAAGACAAGCCGGAGCCTCTAATTCCAAACAACAATCCTATGGTGCTATTTTGTGTTGGTGCAGCAGCAGCAATTCCTTCCAGAACAGCTTTTCTGTTTGCAAAGGAAGGGAGGGTGATTTTTGTTGATTTCCCACCTCCTGCTGCATATTCCCCCTCTTCAGGGCCAGTGCCTCAAAGAACCATGGTGTCAGGGGAGGGGACTGAAGTGTGGGGGGCAGAGAAGTTACTTTCCTCTGGTGCAAGTCTGCAAGCCAGTATGTGTAATACAAGTATAATGGTATCACCATTTCTACCTTCACAGGATTGGTTAGGACTTCCCGCATGTATTCAGCAACTGTAATGGGGCCAGTTGACTTTATTTTCATCATAAGGTGTTTCAGCATTGGTGTCACTGGGCTGTTTTCCTCTACTTTATTTTCTGAGCTAAAGCATCGGCATCTCCATGTAGCTGAACCACCTGTGTAAGAACATAATATCCATGATACTTCTAAGCTGGTGAGTCATCTGAGTAAAGATATATATCACAGTAGACAGCATGGAAGCACCAAAACCTTGTTCTCTAAGGTGTTATTGGACTCGAATCTAGCTGTTCTACTTCAGACCAACAACCAATACAACCCATCTTTGAACTATATCCTCATTTCTGTGAGGCTGGACATTCTTGCCATTCTCAAACTTTTCTGCACCTGGGCCTATCTATCAACATAGGTTAGAATGGCTTCTAATCTACACAAGGCCATATAGTTGTGTTATCATTTTGTCTCTTGCTCCTCTCCAAGACTATTGTGTTCTGGGTCTCCAAACTCCTTTTTTTGCATGTTTAGCTGAGAATCTATGCCAGCCCTGTCTCTGGTGAGCAGAAACATCCTCCAGGATATTTTTAGTCAAGTCCAACAATTGTTCCCCCATATTCCTGGCCATATCTGATAGGTGGGTAATCTTAGAGGGTTGGTATTTTGTCACAATTAAGCAAACTCCGGAGGATGGCAGAAGACAGGAGGGCCTGGCATGATGTGGTTCATGGGGTCACAAAGAGTCGGATTTGACTGTGCGACTGAACAACAAACATTTTGTCACAAAGAAACAGTAATTGCTATAAAACATCTTACTCTATAGATTCTGGTGGGTAGCTGTGTTGGCCTGAAGCAGCAGAACAAAGTTTGAGTCCATAGTTTTATTCATGGTATAAGCTTTCATGTGCACACACACTTCTTCAGATACGTTGAAATGGAAGTTACTGGTCCATACATGTAGGTAGAGGGTGAGCAGCAAATTAGCATAAACATAATAAACGGTGTTTTACAGATTCAAAGACCAAACTGGAATAACAAGCTTACTTTACATGGTCACCATTTGTTTGGGTTTAATTCAAGGGGATAACATAGTGAAGGCAATAAATATATCAAAATCGGATGGGCAGTTCTACCTTTCTTAATTGTGGAATGCTGAGAGTAATTAACTGAGAACCTGTTGTTATGCTTCATCTGTCTCCTCTCAAGCATAGAGGTAACTTCACACACATCCTTTTCTTTCAGGTGGGGTGATTGGCTGTGCAGTGTATATCTCCTCTATCCCAGACCAGAGAAATACATTCCAATCTAGCATTCCGAATTACATTACATTCTACTATTCATTACATTACAGTCTCTATTCCAAATATGTTACTCTGTTACTCATATGTTACACAAATAGGCTGCAGCCCTGTGCAGCAGCAAGTAGCGATAGCAAAACTAAACTCGAAGCTGCATAGAAAGTCTTGGAATACACAGTCTGTTAAATACTGGGTTCCATGGATGGTCTGACCCCAAGCATAGTGTTCAGCTCTGCTTTATTAGTGAGTCGGCAGGAACAAACAGAAGACAGAAGACAAACTGCCAGGGCGACAGCCCTGTTAAACAGCATGCACTTCCCAAACAACTACCAAGGATAGGCCATTATCAGAACCGTTACTTCCCCACTGGCCACCTCCAGAGTCCTGGTGGGCTTTTGTTCTAGAGCTCCAAGCTCAGCCAGTCTCTGGTAGAAACAGTCCTGGAATGTTCTAGTCCCTTACATAACACAGTCCTATGCAAATGTGCAGCACATCAGGTTTGATTCCGAGTAAGCCAACCACAGGATCAGATTATGTGTACCTCTCCACAGGCGCCCTGGCCACTTTTCAAAAGAGCAATTTTGAAACGGAGTTTAGAACATTGGGGGGGGGGGGTGTTGAGCAAACTGCCGCGAATCCCCAAGAATCTCTGAGACTGTCTACGTATCTACATATCAATCTATTGAGAGCTACCTGGAAATCGTGACCCCCATCCCAAAGGGCGATAGTTGTATGCGGCAGTCTGCACATGTTCAGAAAGGCACTCCCCCCCCTTATTTACATGGCACTCTAACAGGACCCTGGACCCAATTTCTCCCCGCCCCTTTGAAACCACAGAAGGCAGGCAAACACAGCAGGGGCGAGCCCTTCCAACCTCGCTGTTACCATGGTGACGGAGCAAGCGGCTGTTTCGCGAGCCAAGTCGCAGAAAAGATCGCCCTAAGAGCGCGGGCTGCATTCCTACTTGTAGTTCACGTCAACCTTTCTTCAGAAAGCGGTAGTTCCTGGCAGCTGAATCGATCAGACAGCCTGTCAATAACACCACGTGATTCTATGTTCTCTCCGCTAGTACTGAACTAGTGACGTCTCTAGATAGACGGGCACGAGCGCTCCCCCCATTTGTTCCCTAAACCAGCGGCTCATTCCGTCGTTTTTGCATCTTGCAGGACCTTTCCTTCATCGTGCGGTCGTCACCGCGACCATCACTGTCACGCGGAAGTTGGACTGGCGCATGCGTGGAGTGGCGGACTAAGATGGCGGCGTTGGAAATACCGAATCCCGGGGAGTGTGATGGGTTTGACGACGATGAAGTACCTGATGATGGAAGTGGTTTTACATTGCAGGAGGTGCTCCGCCTCGGCGGTACCCAGGTGAGAGAGGGATCCGTAGGGACCCTGGCGAGAGTGAGGAGAGTGCATGTGTGGATGCCGAAGTGTGTGAGAACACGTGTGAGAGCTCTGCCTTGGCATGGCTCTTGGCAAGCAGACGCTTAACAGGTTGATTCCCCCAAGCATTTCCCCAAGTATACCGGGAGAAGTCCTTGTTGAATTTCCGCCTGTTATATTGCTGTTAAAACGACAACGAACCAGTTTATAGAGAGCCGAAAACCCAAGTGACAGTAAGTAGGCTGTTTCTAGCCGTAAGTTCTCTGTAGTGCGTGAGATGTGGGTTCTGTGCGTCCCTTTTCCTTCCGTTTTTTGAAGGGGATGTAGTTAAGTGACAGAGCATGTGTTCTGCGTGCTGAAGGTCCTACATCCAGTTTCTGGTATATCTGCTAGCAGGGTCTTAAGGAGGGGGGTGTTGGGAACGACCCTTCACACCTGAGACCCTGTAGAGTACACTAGATCATATTGGACTAGATGTTCCAATGGGCCGGTGCTTTCTAAGGCAGTTTCATGGATCCATTTGCTTGTGTAATTTTGCTGTGTGACTGAGTGAGCTCCCGTCTCTGGCCCCAGCTTCTGCCAACCTAACAGTTTGAAAGCAAGAAATTACAAGTAGATAAATAAGTACCGCTTAGGTACATATGCCGGCCATATGACCATGGAAAAGTCTAAGGACAGTGCTGGCTCTTCGACTTGGAAATGGAGATGAGCACTGCCCCCTAGAGTCAGATTCAACTGGCTTTCGAGCAAGGGAAACCTTTATCTTTATTTAGTGTAAAGCCACTAGTTCTTATTTCTAAGCATCTCTCTCTTATTGGCTTTGAACAGAGAGTTTTGTAGCATCTTAAAGACAAATGCTTACATTGTGGCAGCAACTTCTTGATATTTTTATTTCTTAGAGCCCATGTAAGTTTCAGTCCGAAGAAGCTTATGTTGCAATAAAACGGTTAGTCTTAAATTGCCCCAAGAGCATTTGTTGTTTTTGTTGCACATAGGCTATCTGTTCTGATTTCTCAGGCAGTCTTGTCAAAGTACAGCACTCTGAGAGTAATTTTTGACAAATGCAGGATATCCCTTGCTTTGAAGGACATTTGAGTTGTATGCATTTCCTTTCATAAATGTCTGGAAAGCAGCTAGAGCTGCAGAAGAGTAGATGGCCCACTGAGTACCTTTTGTTTCTTTAATGCAAGCATGTGATTTGATTGTCCTACTGCTCTTGTGCCTGCTTTGCTTATTGAAATCCCAAAATGATGTGACGATGATTCACTACCTTACAAATTTTTTACTGGTATATATTAAACAGAAAAGTTTACTGTTCTTTATCTTTTGACTTTTAAAAAGTTACTAGGCTCCTTTGCTGAGGTGGTCTAACCCCTGTGTCATAAGTGTGTGTTTGTGTGTGGTTTGGCATTTTTATCAAGTATGTGATGTCTGGTAATGTAGTCTGTAGGCATATTAATGAGATGTCTTTCTTTTGTTTTATGCAGCAAGATTATCTCATGCTTGCTGCTTTGGATGAGACTGAAGAACTTGTGGATGGTGGCAAAAAAGGATCAATTGATGATTTAAAGCAAGGAGAACTGGAAGCATTTATAAAATCCTTGGGTGTGAGCAGATATTCTGAGAAACTGCTAGTAGTGGAAGAAGAGGGAACCACAGTGGAAACAGAAGGGAAGCCACAAAAGAAAGTGAAACAAAAGGAAGTAAATGTAACTGCAATAGGAAAAAAAGAAAATCAAGTAAAAGAAAGCAAAGGGAAGATACAGTTAGTTAATGCCAAAAACAGTAAGAAACATCCAGCTCTATGTAGAGATGAGAAAGAAAAGAAAGAAGAAATTTTTCAGTTCCATGAGCGGCAGATGCTGCTGATAAAACCAGGGGGCAAATGGTATGATCTAGAATATACAAATGAATTTACTGCTGAAACCCAAGATCAGTCTCTTGTTTCCAAGTATATGGCCTTGGCAGAAAAGCTGTACCAGCAAGAGACTGACCTCTACAAGAGCAAGAAGGATCTGCAGAAGCGATCATCATCTGCTTGGATGAAAACTGTAGTGTCATCAGGTACTCTTGCTGACAGAATGGCTGCTATGACTCTTCTTATTCAAGATGCTGCTGTCCACTCCCTTCATTTTATAGAGACTTTGGTGAATCTGATCAAAAAGAAAGGCAGCAGAAGACAGAGTTTGATGGCATTGGACACATTCAAGGAGCTTCTCATGACACACCTTTTACCAGACAATCGTAAGCTGCATACTTTCTCTCAACATCCTTTTGGCATTCTAGAAAAACTTTCCAGTGGCAACAAGGATTCGAGGGACAGGCGCCTGATACTGTGGTACTTTGAGCATCATCTGAAGCACTGGGTGGCTGAATTTGTGCATGTGCTTGAAGCTCTGACTCACGATCCCTTGGTGGCAACGAAAGCGCGTGCACTTGCTGTTGCTCATGAACTTCTCTGTAACAAGGTAGAGGAAGAGAAAGCTTTTCTTGTACAGTTGGTAAATAAGCTGGGAGATCCTCAAAACAAAGTTGCCACCAAAGCATCTTATCTCTTAGAGACTCTGCTTCATAAGCACCCCAACATGAAAGGAGTAGTGTGCAATGAAGTGGAAAGGCTTCTCTACAGATCAAACATTAGTCTGAAAGCACAATACTATGCAATTTGCTTTTTGAACCAAATGGTCCTTAGCCATGAAGAGAGCGAGCTGGCTAATAAACTCATAGCCCTCTATTTCTCCTTTTTTGGCTCTTGCATAAAAAAAAAAGATGTTGAGTCCAAGATGCTTAGTGCTCTCTTAACAGGAGTGAACAGAGCTTATCCTTATGCTCAGACAAGTGATGAAAAGGTAAAAGAACAGATGAATACCTTGTTTAAAGTTTTGCACGTTGTGAACTTCAACACCAGTGTCCAGGCCTTGATGCTGCTGTTCCAAGTGATGGATTCTAACCAGACAATATCCGACCGATATTACACAGCCCTGTATAAGTAAGCATCGATGTATCCATCAAATACAATTTTGTGGAATAATGGCTGTTAACTGATAGGTTTTTAAATGGTGTATGTGTATTTAAGTTTGGTAGAATGGAAACTGCACTTGGGCCACTCTGCATAGCAAGAGTAATTGCTTTGTTTCCTTTAAGGCTCTGATGCTGGTAGGCTGTTGATTATTTATTTATTTAATTATTTTGGGATTTATATCCCGCCCCACCCATACTGCCCAGGGCGGCAAACAAGCGGCAACACTGGAAATAAAACATAGATCACATTTAAAACCTCAATAAATACAAACTGAATACAAACTAAAATGGTGCTCTACAGTTCAATTTAGAAGTTCAAGATGGTCGATGTCCCTCACTGGCGGCTGATGGTAAAGGAAAGCAGGAGCGCCAGAGTAATTTTCCTCTTCTGGGCGACGACGACCCCCGCCCAAGGCCAGGTAGATGGTAGATAAGCCACGGTGGTGGTATAGTGGCAGCGGCGGCGGCTCCTACTCAAAAGCCTGGCGGAAGAGCTCCGTCTTGCAGGCCCTGCGGAACTGTACAAGGTCCCGCAGGGTCCGGATCTCTGCCGGGAGCTCAATGGCCCTGTTAATTTTTAAGGTGATGCCTATATCCTTTTCCAGATCCCTGCTACTGGTTATCCTGACAGGAAGGAGGGTTGAGCCAAGACCCTAATGCTGAACTAGCAGTTTTCTTCATGTCTCTCAATGCATTCCAGCCAACGATTCACACATTTAATATTTAAATATGATATCAGTTGATGTGTGTGCAGGATTGTTCATTACTTATAGAAGCCTTTTTGTGTACTGTATTTAAAATCGAGGTTCTTATTTGTGTAAAGTAGATGTCCACTTTAAATGAGGATAGCCGTGATGAAATATTGTGCAGCAACAGTGCTAATCAATTTCTTGAAAACAAGGCAGATATGTTGATTGTATCTAATCTGTGATCTAAACGTTTTAAGTATTTTGGCTTCTGCTTTAAATCCAATGAACTTGTTTGAGTGAATTATTATTAAGTTAATACTGGTAATGTTATAATTTTTGGCAGGAAGTTGTTGGACCCAGGATTAGCACTGTGTGCCAAACAGTCAATGTTCCTCAACCTTGTCTACAAATCTTTGAAGGCTGATACCGTATTGCGGCGGGTGAAAGCTTTTGTCAAGCGACTGCTTCAAGTCACCTGTTCCCAAATGCCACCTTTCACCTGTGGCACCTTGTACCTTGTATCTGAACTTTTGAAACTAAGGCCAGGGTTATGGGTGCAGCTTCAGGATAATGTGGTATGGTATCCCTTTGCTTTCTATGGTTGTTGATCTTGTTTAAAAACTGCTTCTAATTCTGCTTTGCCTTACAAATGGTAATTTTCTTGGGATGAATGGTTTACATCTGTGTAAAAGCTATCCAACAATTAAAAAAAATATTCTCTTAAAGTAATTGCATCAAAAAAGTCATTTTGATGTGGGGTGAATTACAGAGACCCTCTGGCAGAAATGGGCAACTTGCTCTGCACTGAGTGGCACCATTGTCTGTTTGTGTGCTCTGATTTTTCTAGTAAGAAAATGTAAAGTTGCTATAAGGGGCTTAACTAATTTGTTTCCTAGGAATCAGACGATGAGGAACATTTTCGTGACCTTGAAGAAACTGAAGAGGAGGAGGCAAAACTTGTAAATGTGGATAAAGAGAAAGAAAAGAAAAGAGCAGAGGAGTCTGTGAAACTTCGTGACTCAAGTTCAAGAGCATCATGGGTCCATCACCAGAACCTGGCAGGTAAAAATAATTGTAAACTTCCAAGTTTGGTCTTGGAATCACTGTAATGATGGGGATTCCTAAAGGAATATCTTAATGCTGGCAAACTTTTCATTTGAGGGCTATCACTCAACAGTGGCTTCAGTAATCCAATGCTCATTTTTGAATGAGGTTGAATTGAGCCAAGTGGGAGCTGAGTGCCAAAATATTTGGACGTGCTTTTAGTAGATAAGACACTGGCAAGGCTGCAAGCCATTTTGACTGCTTCTGTACTAATGTCTACCTAGAAAGATGCACTTCCCAGTATTTCCCTCATTGCCTGTCATTCTTTATCATTTGTGTCCATTTTATCAAGTTAGGCTGCTTTTACTCTCAGAATGAGAACTGAAGTTGAGAGATGTTGGATGTGAAGAAAATTGAGTCTAGCTCTTCAGGTCCCAGTTCTGAACTCTCTGCACTTCAGTGCAGGTTCCTGTGCCCTGCTTCACTTTAGGCATCTGATAATTCTGTGGAGCATCAGCTGCATACCTGCTGTTTAAACCACAGGAATTAGAGGTTGTGTGACAGGGGTGCAAAACTCATACTATTACACGGGCCACAGTAGAGCCTAACTGGAGCTAAGTGGTGTGTCCTGCAGCCCACTTAGGGGGTCAGAATCAGGAGAGGTTAGAATGTGGGTGCCCAAGTAGGAGTCTGTGTTCTGATCCCTTCCTGGCTGGAAAGGCCCTTGCCATGTCTTTGATGAGATCAAAGCCAAAGAGCAGTACAGAGGATGTATGCCAAAGACTGTGCTCAACAAAGCAAAAACAAAGCAATAAACTGTGCTCAATAAACTGTGCTCAACAAAGCAAAAACAAAAAAAAACCCACCCAAATTTTAAATATAATATAATATAGAGGACACAGTCCAATACCGTTCAAATACTATGATGAAATTAGATCTAGAAAGCCATGTTGTACATCCAAAAGACACTAATATTTTAAAAAATCAGGGGCCACTACACACCCAATCTCTTATCAGCTCATACACTAGAACTCCAATAACATAGAACACAGTCTTCAAAGTTTAAACCGTCCCACAAAGGGTTTCAGAATTCACTGGAGTCTGTTGGATGAACTCATGTAGGTTCCTCCAATATTCTTCTTTATGTGTGAGCCAGCTTATAACAAGCTGCATTTTGCCCAAGGCTTCTTCACAAAGATGGAACCCCAAGTCTTCTCTGAATAATAAATACAAAGAAATTTTACCAAAACTCAAAGATGAAAACACCTGCAAGGCAGGATTCAGCAAAATTTAAAAATACCTGCTCCAAAGGGAAAAAATTCACCAAGACGTTCTTTCCTTATGCAAGGTTGCTGTCAGTTCAAACCAAAGTCATAAAGACACATTTTGAATGTGTCCTATCAATGGAAACTAAGTTACTTAACTGGTAGCAAAGCAGGTGTTTGTCATTTGAGAGTATACAAGGTCCTTAAAGCAACATTCATGTACAAAATTAAGGCAGGAAACCAACATGTAAAGATTCAGATGAAGCAAGAAAAATCATTATCTAAATCCAGACCCTTAGGGAAGGGTCGATGGAAGATCCATAATGCTTCTTGTTGTAACAAAATCTTACTAATATTCATGTATTAGTCTGGACAAACACTTGCCAGGGATACTATAGGCTGATCCTGCATTGAGCAGGGGGTTGGACTAGATGGCCTGTATGGCCCCTTCCAACTCTGTGATTCTATAATTATAAATTTTACTCACAAATCTGTAAATAACAAAAACGCTCAAACAGTCAGCAGAATGGTTGCACTGACCAAAATGATCAACAAGAGGAACCCCCAAAATTTTATTGTGTATTTGGGACTAGTGCTCCAAAATGCTTTTTTTTTTTACAGGTCTTATTGTAGTACCCGTGTATAATTTTTGACAAGGACAGATCACCAGATAACCACAATGTTTTGTGCTGCAACAACTAAAATGGTTTAAAGTGACGCTGTAACCAGTATTCGGATGAGTAAATTTCTTTATCCCCAAAACTAAATCACAAGTCAAACACACCCCACATTTATGATGTCCAGAAGGTCCATCTGACTGCACAGAGAGTTTTGCAAAATCTGAATGGACCAACCAATCAGTCACATTTTTAGTGCACCTAAAACCCAACCTCAAAGGCTGTTCACATCCCAGAATATCCTGCACTAAATGTCTATTGATGATTCTCTTGATTGACATAGATCTCGGAGAATACTGAAATGCACAAGTAACCACGATCTCTAAAATATACACACAGTTCTCTACTGTGAATTCCATAGTCCCGCTGGGAGGTCAAATTTTGTTTGATTCTAAGCAGTTGAGAAAAGAGAAGGTTGTTTTTAAGATGTGAAAGATGACAAGAGGAATAATACAAATAGGTGTTTTGGTCCGTTGGTTTTTTCCTCCGCTATTCTGTTAGCAGCTGGCACTCCAGTCTAAATATGCTTATCTATTTTTGTTTCAAGACATACAAAAATTCATTTTTCCCCAGGTAGCAAGAACTTGAATAGCTATGACCCATTACATCGAAATCCTTCATACTGTGGAGCAGATAGGACAAGCCTTTGGGAACTAAAGAAGGTACAACATTTTCATGGAGAAAAAGTTCACCAGGAATTAAAGATTTGTCTTTAATGAGATGGAATCTAAGCCTTTGCATAGCCACTGGTTTTTAGCAACTCTTTTTCAAATGATCTTATTTTATTGTATACATTTACTCTGGGATTTTGTTGAAAGTCATGGTCTTGTTCAGTGGAAAATACCCCAACCTGATACATAAAGGTGGGCTAAGGACAGACCTGTATGCTAGTAGCCTTCCACATGGAGGTTCCTGAAAACAGCATCTGTGTGGTAGCTTTTATATGTTTTGACAGTATTTGTTGCAGCCTTTTGTTACATGCCGAACTTGTTTTCAAAAGTCATCATGTTTATTTTATATTTATGGAAATAGCACATTGTATATTTATTTTTAAAGTTAATATTTACAGTGAAATCTGAGTTGCTCTTACAGGGTGGGTCTTATTTTTCCAGCTTTCAGAACACTTTCATCCATCTGTGGTCCTTTTTGCAAAAACTATCCTAGAGGTGAGTTGAATTTCTTCTTTTTTTCAGCACTTTGTGTTGTAGCATGACGCTTGGCATGTGCACTGGAGATACCATGGAGATACTACGCCTTCCTTTTTCCAGACACAGGGAAAAGGGTGGGGGAAGTGAAAGGTGGCATTGTTCTCCAATCAGTCATTCCACCCCTCTCTTTCTGAAAAGCAGTCTGACGTGGCATCATTATTTTGCAACCCAGATGTTGCTCTGTCTTTAAAGAGCATAGCCGTGGCTCTTTCTGATTGTTCTCTCTGTGTTCTTTTGTCTGTTCTGTTCCTCACCATTTGAGTGGCACAGTGGAGTGGCACATGATAAATGGGGGGAGGGACGAATGACTGGACTGTGGAGGCAATGGGCAAGAGATTAAAGGGGGCTGTGTTGACAATTGCTACCTTTCAACTGGCGCCTTTTCTTCTAACTCTTCTGCACCAGTTCTTCAAGATATCATCCCTCAGTATCGTGAACTGACTATAAACATAAGTGGCTTTTACACCTTTTTGGTCCATGTTTATTTTACACCATGAATTTTGACTTTATTTCAGGGGAGATACATTGAATACTCAGGTGATCCTCTACAGGATTTCACACTAATGAGATTCTTAGATCGTTTTGTGTACAGGAATCCCAAAGGCCATAAAGGCAAAGGTAGGAAGCCTGTATATTTTTGTTGGTAATATGAAACTACCTTATGCCAGGTCAGACCATTGGTCCATCTAACTATGTGTTTCCCAAGAGCTGCTACTTGAGATCTTCTAACTGGAGGTGCTGGGAATTGGACTGGGACCTTCTGCATGTGCCCTGTCACTATCATAGTTAGCAGATGTCTGTGATGTGCAGGAGTAGAAAGTTAGTATGCTGATAATTTTGCATCAACTCTTGACTTTCTGCTGCAGAGAACACCAGCAGTGTGGTGATGCAACCAAAGAAGAAACAGTCCATGAGTAACATACGAAACCTTGTTGGTAAGTGCAGATATTTTATTCATTTGTACTCAGATCATAAGTACACTGTCTTATCCTAATCCCCATCAGGATAAATTTTTATGATGTAGGGAATGTAAGGACTGCCATACAGGGAGCAATCCTAAATAGGTTTCCTTGGAAGTAAGCCACAGTGGGGCTTAGCTCACAAAAGTGTTCTTAGGATTGCAGCCACAGATACCTGTTGAGTCACTGACCCTTCTTATTGTATATATTTAGATCTGTGCCAAAACATTATTTTTATTGTAACAGTTCAGTCATAATAAACAGGGGGGGAAAAGATCCTTCAGGGCTTGTGCAAGCACAATGCATTACATTCTGGGGATAGAAAGGATACGGAATCCTGAAGGCCTTCGCCCTGTATCTCTCTTCTCAAGATGTGCTGGCCTGTTTGTCATCTGAGCAGACAACTAGGGGGTCCCAAGCCCCTTATTTATGCTACATCTGTTATAAAATGATTCTCATGCCTTCATTAGCAGGTAGTTCAGAATTTTTCAAGTTCTCACATTCAGAACATTACTATTATTTAATATTTGACTATAAAACACCATTAAAATAAGCTTTTCCAAAGGAGGTCCCTTTCATCATTGTTAAACTTGCAAGAGATGGCAATCTGGTGAACTGGGAAGGCTTAACCTTTTTAAAAAGGAATATCCTTACTCATGACGCTAGATTAACAGCAGCAACATCCTAATGGGGTTGGAACTTCTCAACTTTCTATTTCTAATCCATGTTCCCAAGATATCCGGTGACTACATTTCTTCTGCCTAAATGATTTAAACCAGAAAATTTCTCACCGGACTAGATTATATAACGGATTGTTTGTTTTTTAAAGTTACCCAGGCAAAACTTTGCCATTTCGATACAAAGGAGCTTCTTCTTACAATCACTGGTTTGACTTTACACTCTAAGAATAAGAGGCAGTATGGTGTAGTGGTGGTGGACTAGGACCTGGGATAACTGGGTTTGAATCCCTATTCTGCCACGGAGGCTCACTAGTGACCTTGGGGCGCCATATCTCTCGGCCTAACCTACCCGATAGGGTTGTTGTTTTGAGGGTAAAGGGGAAAAGAGGAGAATGTTGTGATAAGCCACTTTGGGATCCACATTTGGGGTCCTTTTGAAATGTTTTGTATTACGTTCATGCAGTGCTTTCAGTCTTCTCTCATGAGAAGGGTTCACCATTGCTGTGATAGTGTTTGCTGTGATGGTGTTTGAATATGTGTATCCAAAAAATAAAAATGAAACACAGTCCATGACTTGAGCAGTGCTGTTAACCTCTTCTGTCCCTACTAGAATTTTTCTTGTGCTGCTTTGCACAGTTTAGACCGAAAAGTGGCTAAATCAGTGTACCCTTAATGTTTGTTTTGGCATGATGCACAGTTCCTGGATTACCTGGGAAATAATATAATTTGGTCACAAAATGAGTTTGTGAGTGTGTTATATTCCAGCACCTGATAACTCAAGCTCTCTCAGTATTGAGGGACTTCTAGATATTTTAAAAACGTATTAAATCTTAGGAATTTAATTCAAAATGAAAATTATATATGAGTTTTAGATATGCTCTCAAAGGAACAGCCATCTTTAAGTTTCTTCATCAAATCTAGATTAGGAAGGAGGAGGAAGCCCAAGTACACCTATGTGGAATGCTTGGCAGCAGATCCTTTCATTGTTTTCATGTCCCAGAATCATTGCTTGTTCTCTGGCCACATCAGGTGTGTGTGTGTGGGGGGGACAAACTTCAATCTGGATTCAGTGGTTTAGTTGAAAACTCTGATTAACTGGTTGAAGCTGGCAGGGCCATAGAAACACACTGATTTTTAAAAATCCCAAACTCCCCCCAAACAGTGCGCAAGGCAGTTTACAAAATGAAAATACCTAAGAGATATGGATATGCTCAAAATAAAATAAGAAAATAGAGTGCAGAACATTTTAATGACTTTTATTGCAAGCTCATTTGGTAAAACACCCCTGATCTCTTTTATTTCTAGTAAACAGTAAGGAGTTTCTTGCACAAGATGAAAGCCAAATCCCAGTAGATGAAGTCTTTTTTCACAGGTAATGGAAAACTCTGAATTATATTTCTGTGTACCAATTGTGTTCCTTATGCGGAGGTTTCTTTCTGGTTGGTGTTTATGATTTGCATTCATGGAAGTGTTCCTGACATTGGCTTATATGACTTAAAGGAGGGACTGTGTTGAGAGGATTACAGCCAGCAATAATATTACAGATTGCTAGATGCTACTGAGAGATTTTAGTAACCATATGGGGTCTTTAGGATCTATGATGCAATTTACCCATATCAACAATCCTTAGAAGGGCCCCATAGTTACTGTCAGAGAGAACTTTCCCATAACAATCATACCTTTCCCCCCAGTTTCTTGTTCTTTTTTCTTTGTATCTGCTTCTATTATTCCTTGCTGTCTGCTGCCTTTCAGTACTCTGGCTCATACTGCATCAGCAGCTATAGCTGTGGTGAGATGCATCAGCATCAGTTTGTTTAGGTGCTGATTAGGATTTCTTATCTTTGGTGAAGCTTTCTAAGACAGTACAGTTTTCTGGGCAAATATTGTACTGGTAAGAATTGTGGAATCATAGCTACCCTGGAGAGATGACATGGGAAAGCAGGATATTGTGTCTTAAATATGTGAGATGTCGTTAAACCGTGGGACATTCTAATCTCATACTGTATCTTAGGTAGACCCATCTGTATAGCCTTCTCCTGGGAACTGTTTTTACTAGTTACCATTTTGAGTAATGAGAAGAAGTAGGCTCTTGTTTAGGCATTGTAGTCAACATAGAAGAAAGTATTTGGCAAAACTTGCTGTCTTGAGTCTGAGGGGATAAGGCGGGACAGAAATGCTTTAAATAAATTTTAAATAAATAAAATAATGAATGTGGGAAGGTGACCGCAACTGTCACAGTAAATGTGTGGTTTCATTTATGAAATAGCTTTAGCAATTTTATATTTTTACAGTAGTGTTTTAGCGGTTTGGAGAATATTTATATCTATGGATATACTGCAGGGCCCCCCCAAGATAGTTCCCATGGGTACCATGGTGCCCACCAACACCTTTTTTTGGCACCCACCAAGTATATTTAGAAAGGGGATGAGGCTGGATGGCACTTCTGCCCAGGTGGGGTTCTGACAGGCCATTGGAGATCAGATTGGCTGAGTAGTTTTTTAAAAAATGTTACTTTGGGAGCGGCTGCCACCACAGTACAAGGATCTTGACTGAGTAGCCACCAGTAAGTTGTTTGTATATGCAAGAAAATATTTTAAAGCAGTATGTTCCTTTTAAAACTCATCCTGAGCTTCTGCCTGAAATATTGAAGAGCTACAATTAGAGTTATGCATAACCTCACTCCCCGACATTCTGTGGTTGGTTCTGCCTCTTGAGGCAGCTATTTTCTGGTTGCGCCCACCACCCTGTGTCAGAATGCCAAAGGCATCTGCAGGTTCAAAAAGTTTTGAGGACCCCTGGTGTACTGCTTTTAAATACCATGCGGATGCTTACATTTGGCTGGAGGCAACCCCCCCCCATTATCAGCCAATAAACACTTAGGTCCATAGTTAGACAATTTTTGGTGGGGGGCCCATTGCCCCCATGTGCTTACATCACTTCCAACGTCACTTCTGGAACTGACGTAGGTACATGGGGGGGAGCTTTCTTTGCCCCCATGTGCTTACATCACTTCCAACATCACTTCCGGAAATGTAGGTACATGGGGGGGGCCTTTCCGCTTGCTGCCCCCTTCTCTCCCCCCTGCCCAAAAGCACCCCTTCAAGGCTCCCACCCACAGAAACCTTGAGCTGCTGCAGGGAGAAGCACACTCGGGTTGTATGGTGCCTCACTGGGCGCCAAGCCCACCATCTCCATGAGGGCCACACCATGTGCTCAGAAAGCATACAGAAGATCCTCCCAGCCCTTTATCTGGGCCCCCTACTCCTCACTAAGAAGTATGGGGCGGGGTGAGCCTCTTCCTAGAGTGGTAGGCTACACACCAGGTGGAGCCTGTGAGTGTCATGGAAGGCTGGCTGCTCTGCCACCCCCACTCATCCTTGCAGCTGTGCTGCAGCAGCAGCACCATTCCCGCAGCATCCCACAGTGTCCAGCAGCTTCCTAGCATCCAGCGGCGCATCCCACCTGCAGGGCCGTGCACTCGTGACCTGTCTGGGAGGAACCACCCGTAGCTTGGCCACCCTCTCGCTGGATTAGAGCTTTGCTGGCGGAGAGCTGGGCCTTCCACTTCTGCGGGCAGGAGGCAGGAGTGTGTGAGCCTACAAGGAACTACAAAAAGGTCAGAGAAGATTTGGGGGCAGGGCAGATTAGGGAGTGGGCGTGGCCCCAAGGATCCACGCAGTAGCTACAGGCCTGACTTAGGTTGGGGTGGGCACTGTGATGTCATAAGAAAGGGAATATGCTGGCCTTAGTGAATTTTAGAAGTCTCACAGAATTAACCCAGAGAAACTAACCCTACTATGACTTTGACCAATTGGCATATTTTGTTAATTCTGATTTATTTGAATGTTCACAGCATTTTATTTTTAATCCTCAGATTTTATAAAAGGCTGGACATGGAGAAGGAAAAAAAGACTCCTGTGAGAGATGATGAAAGTGTTGAAGATGTGGATGATGATGAGTTTGAAAGAGCATTAGGTAAGGCTATTGCAGCCAGTTCCTTAACCCTGTCAAGGGTGGGTAGCATACTTTGACTCCCCTGGAAGATGGGTTACAGTTCTTTGACAGATCTTCTAAGGTTGAGCCAGTTGATGAAAGGCAAGATGACTTTCTATAAAAGGGTCCCGAGTCAGAGGTGTATGTGAGGAAATCCAAATGGAGTTCACTGAATGCTTAACACACATTTGCAAAATGTCATGAAATCTTTAAACCTGCCTGTGACATGGCATGATTTTGTTTAAAATCTTTCTTTCCTGCCCTTTCTAATGCTCAAGTTAAGTACACTAAAATATAAATATTCATTAAAAACAATTTTAAAAGGAAAGAACAGAAACATGAGCCAGTATACCTGCCAGATTTCCACAGAATCCTCCCATTAACATTGTTCATTGAGCAGATGTTTTTTTAACCAAATCAAAATGTTTAATTTGCTTTGATATTGTGAAATCAAACCTCTCCCTACATCTTGTCTCTTTCAGATTCATTTGAACAAGACAGTTATTTTGATACAATTGGAAAAGAAGACCTTAATTTTGCTGGGTAAGGTGTTTTCATTTTTTTAAAACCCTGTATAGTACAGAATAAAGTACTGTCATATGCCGTTTATTGCATGTGATATATTATGTCCCAATGTTGTTGTAAAACTCTAAGAAAACACAGTTTCAGTGAAACATGTTTTATGTCCCTTCCTTTCTGAAATTGGGCCATTATGGTGGTGGGTTTACCAAATTAAACTAACTTCCATGTAATCTGATTACTTTTGTAAAACTCTGCATCCTTGTGGTCCTGCATTGGGCAGGGGGTTGGACTAGATGGTCTGTATGGCCCCTTCCAACTCTATGATTCTATTTTTCTATCCACTGTCCATTTTGAGGACTGAAAGGTTTTCAGAATGGACTGCGCTTCTTTAAGAGGTACATCCCTCATACCTGACCTGGTTGCAGCAAACTCTTGCTTGATTTCTCCCTGTACATCCCTCATACCTGACCTGGTTGCAGCAAACTCTTGCTTGATTTCTCCCTTTCTTTCCAGTTTGGTGTAGTGGTTAAGTGCGCGGACTCTAATCTGGGAGAACCGGGTTTGATTCCCCACTCCTCCACTTGCACCTGGCTGGATGGCCTTGGGCAAGCCGTATAAATCCAATCTCTTCTCTTCTTCCTCTTGATTGGAAGGGTTTCTACTCCTTGCCTAGTCAGAATAATACAGTGGATTCTTCTTCCCATTATTTTATTGATTTGTTTGGTAGTGGGTAGTATGGGAAGAGAGCCTTTGGATTGTAAATACCTGCTTCCACACCTTAAAATTATGCTGAAAGCAGCATTATATGTATGCTTTTATGTAAAGTATGCTGTGCTGTGCTCATTCCTATGATGTGCTTGTCCCTTGATGTGGCCAACAGTATGTCTTGCATTTATATATCTAAGATGTTGTACTCTGTGTGAATTGAACTGAATGAACCCCCTCACCCCTTTCCATGTGTCATTCCCCACAATCCCTAGCATGAATTAGAATTCCCACTTTGTTTCAGTGTGCTTTAAAAGGATGAAAATATCCACCTTGTTGTTACATTGGTGGTAATTAAATGGCATTACATTCAAAGGGTGTCAGGTAGACTGTAGACAAATTGCTTCTTTATACCTGTGGATGGAAGCTTGACATTTTTAATCTTGACGGAAGCTCAGTGTGTTCATCGAGGGAAGGCTTAAGGCTAAACTAGAGGTACAGGTTTTTGAGGAGTTGGGGCCAGGTTTCTCAGATGCAGTTTGGGTTCCCCACAGCCACACAGCCTCTGTAGGGAATGGTTAAGAACATAAGAACATAAGAGATGCCAATGTTGGATCAGGCCAAAGGCCCATCCAGTCCAACACTCTGTGTCACACAGTGGACAGAAATACCAGGTGCCATCAGGAGGTCCATCAGTGGGGCCAGGACATTAGAAGCCCTCCCACTGTTGACCCAAGCACCAAGAAGACAGAGTATCACTTGCCCCAGAGTCCCTATCTATACCTTGTGGCTAATAGCCACTGATGGACCTCTGCTCCATATGCTCATCTAATTCCCTTTTGAAGCCGTCCATGCTTGTAGCCGCCACCACTTCCTGTGGCAGTGAATTCCAAGTGTTTTTTTTTAAGAGTCTGTTTGGGTTCAGAATGCCACCATGGGGGAAAGAAGGGCTCCCTCTGAGGCCGTTTTTCTGCATTTAAACAGTGCTGGGAGGCGTTGTCTCCCCATTTTTTTGTTCCAGTGCACACAGAATACCCCATGTGGAACAGCAAAAGTGAGGAAATAACCCCCCAGCACTCTTTCAGTGCAGGAAAATGACTGGGAGTGGAGAGGCACAGGAGCCCTTCCTTCCCCCACAGTGGCATTCTGAGCCCAAACAGGCTGTTCTCTTTTTGTTTTTTACACAGCCATTTCCCATAGCCGCTGTGTGGCTGCAGGTGAACTGAATTGGGAAACCCAGTCCCAACTGTTTAAAAACCTGCACATCTAGTTTCGTCCTGAGAAACAATGGGTTTAGCAATCACTGTTTTTTTCAGGAGTGATCTCAGTTGATGGCTTTTGGTCCCCCCCCCATTCCAACTCTTTGTCCGCTAAGCCGCCTGTCAGCATAGCACTTCCACCTTCCTGGCCCATAAAGCAAAGATGAGTGTATGCAGTGATTTAATAGGCTCACTGTATGTTCTTGTTCCCACTGCTTCAAATTTCATGCACTCTGAACTGTGTTACACTAAAGAGGGAGACTGAACGAAATTCTGACCCATATGAGAGTTTTTATATAATATAGTTTTAGAAGATTTAATTTAATTGAAAGTTATCCATCAAAATACACACTATTTACTTTATGTGATCTAGTTTCTATAGCGTATCTGTATTACGGGAAGAAGTGCCTATTATGGGATGCCTGGAAACCTAGGGTGCCCATTAATTTATCCAGGGAAGCCTTTATAAACCAGTCTTGCAATCTGTTGTTCACCTGTGGCCCCTGTAGTGTGATGTGCTTGCTCCTCATGCAAAGAGCCAGCAATTCTTTAACATTAAGAGGCGGAATGGGTGGGGACAGCAGTGAGATGGGGAGGCTAATGGTGAGCATGGAGTACTTAGTGGTGGAAAGTGCTGTCAAGTTGCAGCCAACCTGTGGCGACCCTGTAGGGTTTTCAAGGCAAGAGATGTTCGTGGTTTGCATTGTCTATCTTTCTGTAGCAACCCTGCACTTCCTTGGTGGTCTCCCATGCAAGTATTAACCAACATTGACTTTTCTTTTACTTTCTGACATCTGATGAAATCGCACTAGCCTGGGCCATCGACATCAGGGCAAGGAGCCACTCCTAAATATTTACACAGCTACTGCAACTTGTCTGTGTGAACTTTTTAGTCATTAGGTTATTTACAGTACCAGCCCAAGAACAATTTCCTTGGAATAAGCCCCCTCGAGTAGATGTCACTTGGATTCTGAACAGATCTGCTTAGGATTGCACTGTTAGTGTGTTTTCTTTGAGAGCCCCCCCCCCCCCCCAATTCTGTAGTTTCATTATTTGAGAAATTGCATATTTCTGTAGTGGCATAGCAGTCTGTGTCAGTTCAAATCTCACATAGTGCTGTAACTCCTTATAGACTTACATATGGGGATCCCTTCTCATAAGGAGAAGATCATAACCCTGTCCGTAGACATTGCTTATAGACCTTATTGAAACCTTCTTATAGAGTGAAATAGCCTTAACCAAAGACTCTCTTTGTTGTGGTATTAGCATTAGTTCAGTCTGTTTTAATGGCTTTATAGATTAAATTCTTTCTTACAAGAAATTTAAAATTATTTGTTAATCTTGCATTTCTTATACAAGCACTTTGAGAGAGGTAGATGTGTGGCCTTTCATTTAAAAGCTTGTTATTTTAATATTTTTTTTAGCAATGTCAAAAGCAGTAGTGATAAGAAAAGCCAAAGTGATGAGGCAGACTGGGAAGATTCTGATGAGGATGATTTTGATGATGAGGAAGTGTCTCTTAGCATGGATGAAGACGTTGGAGAAGACCTTGATGAAGAAGGGGGGACCTTCATGGATGTGTCTGATGATGACAATCTAGGTAAAGATCCTTTAAATTGTTAGATCATCTTACTGAAATTCTAATTTTAAATTCCATAGGGAACTAGTTATTTTATTTATATTTGCAGTCATACACTCCGAAGGTGTTCCCTAGGGCTCCATCTGATAATTATTATTGTATGATCCTCTTTGACTAGTTAGTACTCTCCAAATGAGAGCAGTTGCTGTGCTAGACAGTTCTGCCTGTGCCAAGGCTGTTGCCAAATTGGCAAGGATGACACTTGGGAGTGAACTCCACTCCCAAGGATATGTGATTGCAGGGGTTTGCGCATCCATGAAGGAGAAAATTACTGGCCTTCTCATAATAAAATACTCAATTCCTTCCTCTTAACTAGGTCATAGTCTTAAAGCAGAGGTCCTGTGACTTGCAAACAGCTTCCAAGCCATCATCAGGTTTTGCCGATGGAGAAAACATGATCAAATGCATTGGCCCTTGATTTTGACTGGATAATTGTAGTAGCCAAACATTGCATAATAATTTCTTCTGCGCAGGGTCAGTGATGCTGTTGTTCTCATTACATGCAGATGAATTAGAAATAGGACACTTTCCAAAAATAAACATAGGAAAAATAGGTTTGCTTCTTCTAACTGAAAAAAATCTGCTGTTATTGACAACAGTCAGAGGCGGCTATAAAATTCTTATGTTCAGCAGACACAATTTAGTAAGCACTGTCGTTCCATTATCCAAGGAATCACACAGAAACATCTGAGATAGGGAATGGATGGCTCATGTACTCTGTAAGTAGGAACTGAGACCCAATGTGGTGTAGTGGTTGGACTATCAGAGTAGGTTCTGGGAGACCCAGGTTTGAATCCTTACTCTGTGATGGAAACTAACCTTCCTTACAAGTGAGGATAAAATGGAGGAGGAGGAGAGTGACCTAAGCCTCTTTGGGGAGGAAGGTAGGGTAAAATGAATAAAAATAAATGAGAAGATTTCAGTGTTCAGTTAAATACTCCAAATGGAATATTCAAAAACTTTCATTATCAGTGTTCGGTTTTACATATATGCTGAATAAAAGTTGAATCATTTTTATTTGTGCTGACAGATGAAACTGAAGACCAAGTCAAACCTGTCAGTAGTAACAAAGGCAAAAGGACAAAAAAAATGGATTTTGCTGGATCATTGAAAGGTAACATTTAGATTTTAAAAACCTGCTATATATTGAGCCTGGGAAGTACATGAACCATAATGCTAAGAAAGAGTTGCAAATCACTACCATTGTCCTCTTCCCCTTCAAAATTACAAAACATAACTTCAGAGAGAACAAAGATATGAGCAACCAGGATGGCTAGAGATGAGGACTACATTATTTTAATGGCATCCTTAAGAAAAAGTGACCTGAGACAGAATTGACTTTGCGGTTTAGTTTTTCTGAGTGAATGCTATGGTATATTTAAGACTACCCAGGGAATGCTCACCAATTACAGTTACTCCTTCTATTCAGTTTTTGCTAATCCAAGAAAATCTTTACTTCCGGTGCAGGGAGAGGCAGTCAGGAATAACTGCAACTGTATTAAGGATCCCATAGCAGTGTAGTTGCCAAGGAGAATAGCTGTGGTGACTTCTGCACAGAAGAAGAAATGTGAAAGCCCTGAGGCTGCAATATCACAATCTAGTGGTTTGGTGGAGACATAATCACAGTTAAGGGACTGGAAGTACCCCATAGATTTGCACACAAGTACCCCTTCCACTCTTAGTGCTAACTATGGCGAACATAACATTTGCATGGTGTGATTTCGCCCTCTGCCGCCCCCCCCCCACATGCAGGATTTTCCTTTTTCTTCTTTCTTGCTGAGCAGCTCCTTTATCTATTTTCTTCTTATTTGTCTATGGCTGTCCCACCCCAGGGAACTGAGGGAAGAGACAAAATCACCTTCTTATATTCAGCTTCTGATTTGGCACATGAAAGGCTTTTGGAAGTTCAAAATAAAATATTTAACTTAGAGGAGAAAAGATCAGGTGGAATCAAGGGTAGGCTGCATGAGGCGAACCAATAATAAAACGGAGGTAACTTTGTAATCACACTGACTTCAGGTAATGTGTTGCCAACAAGTGTTCCTTCTATTCAAAAAGGTCTTTTAAAACTTTGAGAGAGGCTTTCTTTTCAGTTTTTGCTTAAACAATCAAGCAATAGGTTTCTTTCACCGACTCCTACCTGAAGTCTAGAAGGCAGGAATATAGAACCAAGATCCCAAAATCTTTCTATATATACAGACCAGGGATCACCCCAGAGCTATCTCCCTTTTCACGGATTACTTCTCTTAACGAGAAGCAATTTCCCTTTTCGGCTTGAATGGGGATTCTCTCTGATCCTCTCCTTTTGCCTCCTTCCTGGTTCACAGTCAGTGCTTGTCTGCCTCTCCCTGCACCGGAAGTAAAGCTTTTCTTGCATTAACAAAAACTGAATAGGAGTAACTGTAATTGGTGAGCATTCCCTGGGTAGTCTTAAATATACCATAGCATTCACTCAGAAAAACTTCATTTCTTCGTCACTTCTTCAGTTGTCATTTCTTAACTGTTTCTCTTAACAGAATTCTGTTTGAACAGCCTGTCACTCAAAGATTCTCAGACTGTGTTAGGCATTAACCCTTGACAGTCTGTAACACCTTCATATTTGTTTTTTTATGTACAATTGTCAGTGCTGTTAAATTGTATTTTTATTTAAAGGACCAAAGGAAAGCAGAAAAAGAAAACTCAAAGATACTGGGATGCTTGCTGCAGCGGAAGAAGTATGTTTCACTAAATTCTGTTACCTAATAAAATGCATTTTGTGTGGTAGTATTTCAAAAACTAATTGACTTCTGCTTCTTTGAAGTTTGGCTACTTGCTGGATGAAAACATTGGGTCCAAGTTTGACAGTATTGGGATGCATGCTATGGCCAACAAAGATAATGCAAGTAAGTGACTCTTCATGGTGGAATTTTGTGGTTATGACATCTTAATGGGAACAATGGGAAATAATCGTAAATATCCATGACGTTTGAAGACCAGGTTTTCAGTCAGTTCACTTACTGCTCTTTTCTCCCTTTTTTTGTAAACAAAGTGAGGTGTTTTGTCTAACAGAACACAGAGATTAAGGCCCCAGACATAGCATCTTGTTGACCGTTTTGAAGTGCTTCTGGAGCATTCCTGTGGAGAAATGTGTGTCAAAACCAGCCATCCAAGTATGCGTTCCCAGAGGAAAGTTCCCAGATTCTTCTTGTAGCCTGTTCACATATCCAAAAATTACATAAACAACACATTTCATTGTAAAACACTGTATACTGTTTGGAAACTGGCATTCAGACTCAAAAAATACTAGATAATTAAGTTGTCTTAGGTATTCACTATCAGTATACAAAACAAAAAGTGGATAAATTACCACATAAATAAATTTTGTTTAAGCTTACCTGTATTTTTGAACAAAGAAAAGGCCTTCCCCCAGTACTGGGCAGAGGAGGAGGTATACTGCAAATCGAGCCAAATTATGCAAGAAATAGTTTTCATCAGTATTTGTGGAATAGCACAAACGTCTGTCTACATATCTTGGCTGACAATATTTCCAACTGAGGCATTTGGTCATTTCAGTTTGCTTAAAAATATATAGACTTATCCTCCATGCCCTCGGGGGCAAATATTCTTGGTGCTGCCGGGGGGGGGGCCCCATTGATGGACCTCCTGATGGCACGTGGTATTTTTGGCTGCTGTGTGACAGTGTTGGACTGGATGGGCCATTGGCTTGATCCAACACTGGCTTCTCTTAATCTGCTCTCCAAAGCTGGAGTGATCACATCTCACTGTACACTGCAAGAAACCTTATTAGATACAAAAGACCAATAAAATGGAAACTGAAGTCACAGGAATTCTGAGTTTGGGGGTTCTATTAATACAGTGTTGATAAAATCATGTGTTTGGAACTCTTCTTAAGTTTGTTCATGGAAACTTTGGGAAAGTAGGTAGTGTATACTAGAGTATATATGATGATAGGATTGAATTTTCCACTTGATATAATGGGACTCATTCCTAAGGGGGGTTATTACCAACATGTAGTAGGTTAATTGTTTTAGAATGGTAGCAGTGGTCAAACACACAAGTCTAAAACAGTAATAGACGAAATATGTGTGCAAAAAAATGGAACGGATTTCATAAATTCTGGCCTTAGAAGCTCAGTGGTTAGTTGCATATATTGTATGGTCAGGGTCCAGCCTACCTGAGGGACCACCTTACCTCACGTTCCCCCAAGAGCACTTCGGTCAGGAGCCCAAAATCTATTGGTTATACCGGGCCCCAAGGATGTCAAACTGGCTGTGACCTGGGCTAGGGCTTTTTCGGTGGCGGCTCCTACTTGGTGGAATGAGCTTCCGGAGGATATCCGGGCCCTGCAGGACCTTGAGCAGTTCCGCAGGGCCTGTAAGACAGAGCTCTTCCACCAGGCTTTTGAGTAGGAGCCGCCGCCCTACTATACCACCACTGTTAAGACATCTGAATGGATGCATCGACGAAGCCCTAGGAAGAACTTAGAATTACAGAAGATCGGATAGGCCGTCGCCACTGGATGTGTACGCTGAGAATACTAGCTCGAGTCGTGGGGATACCATCTTGGATCTAGGACACTAGTAACTGGATAGAGCACTTTGGTCTTAGTTTTGATGTTTTTATTGTTTTTATATGTTTTTATTTATGGCTAGACTAATGATCTGGCCTCTGTTAGCCGCCCTGAGCCCACTGGGGAGGGCGGGATATAAGTGTAAAAATAAATAAATAAATATAAACAAATAAATAAGATCTAATTACTTGTCTTGATAAAGTTTGATAATGTCTGTTATGAAAACATTTCAAATTATTCAATTATGCATAAAACCAACTTTTGTAGAATTTATAACATAAAATATTATGTGGTTTTGTTTAGTGAAGAAGGAAGATACCAAGAAACTAGTCATTTATGCTTTATTGATGCCTTTTGAAATTCTTGGCTTAGGCAGTAGTTTCTGAATCTGTTCAAGATCTTAGTATCAGGTTTTTCAAAGGATATGACTATTTTCCAGCTTCTCTGATTTGCTCTGTATCTTTCTTCACTAGATTTCAAACAGCTCAAGTGGGAGGCAGAGCGTGACAGATGGATTCACAATAAAGATGTGAAAAGTATCATCAGGCAGAAAAAGAAGTTCCAGCACAAACCACTGAAAAA